TATTATACATGCATGAATTACTCTCGTTATTTTCCGTGAGAATACAATTTCGCTTTGTGTCTAATTTCCTATAATGGTTAAGCATTCAAATTACTTCTAACAGGTTTAGTGATAACAAAAAATGATAATTAATTATCCATATAACAGCTTACACGTATAAATTATTATAATTTGTAATGCTTCAAAGCCGAGGCCTAATTAATTAGCATCGCACTTGATAATTAAAAAGTTTGAAAGTGATTAATATGGTATAAATCAGCGAGGAGCCAATATATTTGTAAATAAATTGACATTCTTAATTACTGCGCCATAAAGAAGTAACAAGGCGAATAATTTAAGCATAGCGTATAGTCTGGCGTATAACTTTGTTTAGAAACATTAGCATACATCAGGGAACAGTTGGTAATGCAGATCTTGTACTGATCTGATCTCCTCTACAACTTCATTTTGTACATTTTATTTTATAATTTTTCTACATCAGTGCGAAATCTAGCTCGTGTCTATCGTTTTATTGCGCTGGAATGGTAAATTCCTCTTCTCTCAGCGAAGGAAATATTATCTAATGCCTCGGTATCCTTTCCGCGTTCCACATCATCGCCAGATAAAGCTAACGCTGTTTCATATATGTAAGTATAAAATAGGCCTTTTATACATATGACATTGTGTTGAGCCTATTGAAATTGCTATTCTTATACAATATGTGCGACGTTATCACATGAAAGTTATTTATATCCACGTTTATTTAAAAATAAGTATGCAGTTAGATCGTTATGGTTGCAATAATACAGTTTATTGTATACCTTTCCATGTGCATATGTTTATGAATCAACAGGTCTAATAGGAAAATTGCTACCAGCCTACGTTTTCTACTTATTTTAGTAAACGCCAATTATTATATTGTCAAATTCAGACATAAGGAAGAGGTAATAATTACGCCAGTAGGTAGATACGCCGAGTATGTAACCAGTTTCCAATTAGCGACTACAAATTCTATATATCATAAAAATTATACATTATATAAATACCACAAATAATATTTATACAAGAAATGCGATCAAGAGTTTTAAAGTGGTTATTTGCGCGATTCTTGGACTTCCTTTAAGTTCTGCAATAAATTGTACGATGACTGTTATTAGGTTTGAATTTTGCAATACCTTTCGCGAGAATTCAAACACTAGGTGTTCCTAATTTGCTACTGGCGAGATTCTGGTTTAAAGACAATTAATTTTATGTTTATGAGTTGCTGTCATAGCAATAGATCCATGTTAATCAAAGGGTACAGTAATATTTTGCAAATTTGACATTGGACCTATTAGGGATTACATAGGTTGCAAGACTCTAAATTCACTGGGTTCGTAGACACACGTGACAAAATTTAAATGCAATTACAAACACCTTCAATCTAAAATCCTTATTTTTCAGCAACAGTACCTAAATTAAATCCTAAACAAATTTAATAAATGTGAATCAAAAAATATATAAAGGGATAATATTTACTTTTCAAACACTTGTACGACCTTGACGGTACGCGGACTGCGTTTTATTGACTTCAGACGTTAACTTGTTAATTTTTGGTTGTGATAATTATCTTCACTTAATATAAATAAAAAGGTACGGGTCAACCGCCAATTTTATAACGTCGAATTTGGGTGACTCAAGACTGGAAAGGGGCCAGGCAACCACTTTTTGATTTCGTAAAACTTCGACAACGAAGTTCCAAAAATGGTCTACATTCGAACGACTATAAAAAGTCCACGTCCACGGGCAAAACGGAGCGATCTACGTAACGGAATGTAGTAGAACGTAACGGATCAAGTCCTCCACTGCCTTTTATAAACAAACGTTGTCGCGGCTCTCACTAACTTCGCCGCAATATTAAAACCCTTTCTTATCACGTAAATAAAATGTTATCAATTATTTTTGTATCTAAACCCTTACCTTAAACACGGATGTCACTTTTACACGAAAATAAAACCCAACAAACAATTTCTAAAGGTAAGAAAATTCTACACCATCAAACACCTGTACCTTTACCATCTTACAATCTCTTATCAAATTAAATAAAAGCAATAAGCATTAGCGTTTTGATCAAAGAATGGACTAATTAGCGTTAAATCAAAGACGAACCATCTATAATCAGTCCTTCTGATAAACAAAATAATTACTCAAACTAAAATTATGCGTGGTATCACAACAATTTATTGCTAGGATCAAATAGTGCAAGCAACGTTAACGTTACATTGTACATTAAAGCTGCACAAACATGTCGTGGCAAAATAGTAGGATATATTCATTAATTCAATTCCAAGTGCAAAAATTTAACAATCTTGATCACTGCAACTCGCCCCAGAGTGACGACATGCAGTATAAACGTACGACGTTCTGAAAGAAACATGAGTTTAAACCTTGATGTTTACCCGTCTTATGATGACCACCCTGTGTATAGACGAATAGTTGGGCGCTTCGTTACTAAGAAACCTGAGTTTCTAAATTTACTTATTTACCCTAGCCCTAGTATGCTTTCATTTTGTTTAATAGTTTGTCTTACCGCCGATAACGTACGGAAATTTAGTATTGAATTTATCCGTTTTGCAACTGTTGCTGTAGGAATAATTAACTTGTTTTTACAACTGCCGAAAGCTCTCTTGCCATGGAAGAATTATAGGTCATTAGGTTTTAGGTTCGTTAATCGAGTTTAGTTTTGTAATGGATTAAACCGGCAAGGGCATTGCTGGACCGAATTTGGAGCTTTAATTCTGACGATTTGGGTAAGTATAATTAACCGAAAGTAGTTGAATGGGTTACTAACACCCTCCGATTAAGTCGAGATTACATCCGTTAGGTACGCTCTTAAAAACTACTTGAAGTTTGACACCAGTCCCGTATTTTTAAGCCGTGTGGGAAGGACGTAGCTAATTAAGGAAGATGTAATTTTTGGATGTAGATAACCAAATGCGCCGGCCGATTTTCCTACGTTCCCTCCATGGCATAGCCGTACTTTATATAAGATATCTTTTTAATTTAGAAGGGATGGTTTGCCTTTGGTGTATTAACCGAATTTAATTCTTTCTGCCTTTTGCATCTTTGTAAACTACGTTTCGTAAGTGCCGTAGTTTTGAGCCTTTCCATAAACTTATTTTGCATTCATACCATTTAAATTTTGCGTTTACATTAAGTTTGCCGCCCCGTAACTATAGCATTTGCTTTTTCTTTTCCAATATTTCCTACCACTCCGTTAATTGCAAGGTAAGCTTTTTGGTACTTTCCGTTTCATTAATTAGAGGGGTGGGGGATATTGTGCCTCGCTTTACTACAATTGCTTTTCCGTAGAGACCGCTACCGGATCCGATTATTAGGCAAATTGCTGTGCGCGTTAGCATTCACCAGTAGCCGCCCACCGCTTGCCCTTTAGACTTTCTGGGATTGCCGTTCTTCATTCGAGTTACCGTTTTCCGCAGAGTATCGTCGCCTTCACAGATTTTGGTTTAACACATGTGCGATGCTAACTTTTTTATTTATGAAGACATTTAAATGAAACTTTATATCTAAACAATAAGAATCGTTGGCGCCATGCCCACTTTCTTATTTATGAAGGCATTTAATTATTGAAATTTTATACATAAGCATTTGGCATATACAGTGTGTCCCCGGATGGACTGAACAAGAGGGAAAAAATGTCATTCTTTATAAAAAATTTTGCTTGCCTCAAAACCACCTATCCTGAAATAAAAATCTAGATATTCCTTTTAGCAGCTGAGAAAATAACAAAAAACGCAAAATCTACAGCGGAAACTTTCTAAGTTGCATGTTTTTGATTAAATCAGGCGTAAAGTTAAAATTAAAAATTTTTTCCCTCTTGTTCAGTCCATCCGGGGACACACTGTACAACAGTTACAAAATTTGGTTTTGCGCATGCGCATTGCCAACTTCTTTATTTACTGAAGCATTTAAATGAAATTTAATACATAGGCACTTGAAATACAAGAAAATCTAACACCAGTTTTAAAATTTGGTTTTTCGCATGCGCAATTGCAACTTTCTTATTTATGAAAGCAGTTAAACGAAATATCATATGTAGGCACCTTGAATGAAACTAAAACTAATACCGGCTTCAAAATTACTGTTAACGCATGCTGTATGTTTTATATATGAAGGTATTCGATGAAATTTCTAATGTAGACAATGCGCAATGCTATTTACGACAGCATTTATAAAAAGTTCCATATGTAGACATTTCGAATGAAAGTAAAACTAATGCCCATTTCAAAATTTGTATGTATTTTTACACGCTCCACTATTTTTCATTAAACTGTATAGACTTCGATGATAGGCGGCTCATTTGAAAGAGAATGGGGTAAGGATCGCGTGCCTACCGGTATTTTTTCCTGGTCCTAGCATTAATATTATTAGAAGGAAAATACGCTCTCGTCATTTATGTTTGCATAATGGCTTTTTAACTTGTTATTCTTTGTGTAGAAGAACCAAAGCTGCCATTGATGCGCGACCTTCCGGCGAAAGTTCTTCGCACGGATTGTAGAAGACAAAGGATTTGAGATACTTCACAGCGGTTGATTCGGTTGAACCGTTGAGTGAGAAACAGTAAAGAGACGCAACTATATTATCCGTTTTTCGAGCTGGTAACAGATGGTTTCGTACTTCACCTGTCCAATATGTCCTATACCTCTAAGATAGTAATTGATGTGGTATGAAATGCTGAAATTTTACCAGTTTGAAGAAAGTAAGTAAGAGGAATGTAAATCAGCTGAAATGCCCACTATGAGTACAAATCGAAAGTGTGTCCAAATTGAAATCAAATATTTACCTAATCAGTTATGTGTATTATTACCTGTTTGCACTACCTATTAAAAGTTTATAGACCTCCGTTTTTAATAGGACAACGTTTCCAGAAATAATCACAGAAGTCAAGTAGAATCATAAAATTTCACACTAATTTCCATAAACAATTAAAAACGAATAGATAATGCTGAAAGATGTGACAATATCGATGAAATTCTCCATTTTTATTAGCTTTATTCATATGAGGTTAAAAAACACACAGGAAGTGCAGTCGAGCTAATAGGTTTTTATTTTTCTGTATAGGCTATCGATTTCGGTACGTTAAGCAATACCATCTTCAGGCCGTAGCTGTAATACTTATAATTATGGTTATTGTTTATAAATAAAATAGTTTACCGTCATTAGTACAAGATACAATATAAGAAGCAGGTGAATGAAACATTGTGTGGGAGATGTTAGAAATATGTAGCTTGGATGATCACAATCAGCAGAAATCATAAAGGTGAACGAAAACACTGAAATATAATTAATTAGTAATTGTAGATATTAGGTTGTGCGTGTTTACTATTTTGAGAGTAAATTACCTGTGTTGATGTCTAAAAGGTGGATGTAAGCATGTATGGTTGAAGTGTCGAATTGTAGGTTATGTGAACTGAAATATTTTATGTCAAGTTGTAGAAGAGATTTATGCATTGGCGTGCTGTTTATGTGGGGTCTGTAGGGGAGTGGGCGTGTATGTGTGGTTGCGTGTCTTTGTTATTGAAGGGGTGTAGGCGTTTGTATAGGTGTTGTTCTGGAAAGAAAGTGATTTCGTTGAGGAGGTTGTGGTTGGGTTGTTTGATGGCTTTGTGGATCTCTAAATGTTCTAAAATTTTTAATTGGTTATAATTATTTGAAGTTTGTAATATTTTTGCCTTGTCTATGGAAATGGAGTGTTGTGAATCTTTTATGTGGGTACCTATGGCTGATTTTGGTTGGTTTTTGGAGTGTTCTTTAAATCTGGTACCCAGATTTCGTGTTGTTAGTCCTATGTAAGAGGCGGGACATTGGTTGCAGAATATTTGATATATGCCTGATTTTTGTTGTGCCGGAGTTTTTGGTTTTATGTTTGTAAGGATTTTTTTGATAGTGGGTTGAGATTTTGGGATAATGTTAATGTTATGTTTGTTAAAGATTTTGTTGATTTTGTTATGTATTGTGTGGTTATAAGTAATGGCTTTAAATGTTTTTTGAACGTTATGATGGGGAAAAATGGTGTTAATGATGTGTTGTTGTTTTATTTTACGATAAATGTTGTGTATAAACGAAAAGTTGTATTTGTTATTCAATGCAATTTGTAAAATGGTGTTGTATTCTTCGTTATAGTGTATTTTATTAAGTGGTGTGGATATTAGGCGATTGAATAGGAAGTTAAATGCAGATCTTTTGATTTGTGGTGAGTGGTATGAATTATGTGGTATGACTATGTCTGTGGTGGTTGGTTTTCGATAGATGTTATAATGTATGTGGTTGTTGTCTTTGTGAAGTGTTAAATCGAGGAAGTTTAGTTTGTTATTTTGCTCTATTTCTATTGTAAATTTAATTTTGGAAAGGTTGTTAATGTCAATGTGAAATTGGTGTAATTCTGTTATTGTTCCGGTCCAAATACAAAAAATGTCATCAACATATCTGTTCCAGATTGCTATGTTGTTAAATTCGGGTAGCAGTTTAATTTTGTTTTCAAGATGGTCAATGAAAATATTGGCTAGAATTCCACTGATGGGTGAACCCATAGGGAGGCCGTCTTGCATTTGGTAGTATTTGCTGTTGAAGGTGAAGAAATTTTGTTGCGTTGTGAGGTCAAAAAGTTTCAAGAGGTTTTGTATGTCTATTGGATTCAGTTTGAAGTTTTTCCTGAATGAATCGTGGTTGTATAGAATGTCTGAGAGGATGGAAAGCGTGTTGTGTATTGGGATGTTGGTGTATAGGTTTACGATATCAAACGAGATCATGATGGAGTTAGGTTGTAGGGGGGTAATCTTGTTAATGTTGTGAATAAGTTGTGTAGAGTTTTTTATGGATTGGTGGGATTTGTATTGAAGTAATTGTGTGAGGGTGTGGTTTAAGAATTTAGCAAGTTTATATGTAGGGGATTCATATGAGGCTGTTATGGGGCGTATAGGATGATTCTGTTTGTGTAATTTTAAAATGCTGTAGAGGAAAGGTGTTTGAGGATTGCGATTTTTGATTATGAAGGGGTTACTGTTTAGTTTTTCTAGGGTAGTTTTAGATTCTAGTATTGTTTTATTGACTTTGTTTGAAAATTTATTTATCGGGTTTTTTGGTATTTCGGTTATATTATTTTCGTCGAAAAATTGTAGTGTTTTGTTGATGTAATCGATTTTATTGAGAATTACTAGGCCGGCATTTTTGTCAGCTGAAGTAACGATTAAGTCTTGTGTGTCAATTTTTTGTTTTAATAGTTTTATTGTGTTATGTATTTTATGTTTAGGTAGCATAATATTGTTGTGATTAGTGTATCTACAATTACTAACCTGTTTGTTGATCGTTTTAATGAGGTCTTCCTTTATGTTTTGATATAATTGTGGTTGTTTAAGTAGTTGACTTTCGAGTTCGATGGCAAGTTGAATGTGTGAAAATGAGCTTGGTGTCGGTGCAAATTTATGGCCTATAATGAGAAGTTTTGTTTCTTCTTCGTTGAGTGTGATGTTGGAGAGGTTGGTAAAACGTTGAGGGAATTGGTGTTTATTGTCGTAGGTGGTAGGTTGATTTTTGTTTGTAGGTATAATGATTCTTCTTTTTGTTTGGTTGTAGCGTTGGTTTTCGGGTAGTCCGTGGTTGTTATGCTGGTGGTTGTAGATAAGGGTTTGAAGTTTTTTATTTCTTTTTCTGTCTAGTTCATAGTTGTCGTTTTTTACTTCTTCTTCTAGGTCTCGAATGAGCGTTTCATATTCGATGTGGTGTAAACGTTGTGTGAGAGTTCGGTGGAGATATTTTATATGATATAATGAATGTCTTATTAAAATTTTTGCCAACGCCGTCGAGGTTCAATTTTATATGTAATGTAGTTCTCCATTATTTTGGGTTCGTTGTAAATTCTTAGGATATAAAAGGAACCACAAATGTTTATTAAATTTCTAAAAGGTTCAATTTTAGTTTATGCAAGTGAGGTCTTCGACCCTTGTAAATGTAACTAAGCCCTTAAATCCACTTTAAATGAATCTTCAAATTCGTAAAGGATCTTAAATGCTTTCAAGATTCGTATATTAAAAACAATTAAAAATTAAAGTTTTTAAAGCTCTCAAAAGCTATTAAAAGCCTGTTAAAGGTTATAAAGCTACTAAAAAAAACTATGAAAAAAATCGAAATTTCTTGAAAAGCTCATTAGCTGATTTATAAAAGCTCTTCAAGTTTCTTAAAGACCTTTGAAGTTTGTAACTACTAAGGGACTTAAAGAATAGTCTTTTAAAAATCAAGAAATATTCAAAACCGTTGTAATTAAGGACGAATCTCGGTTCTTTCATTCTCTGCACTCCATAAACCACCCCTTAAAAATGTTAAATGGTAACATCCTATGTGTGATACATCATTTTAAAAAACCTTTCCAATGACGTGTCACATAATGGAGGTAGGCTATTTATTGGGGAAATTTCACTAAGATTCGTTTATGAGATATTCAGATGATACCTGAATAATATATATTTTTACCCAAAATCGTCCTGAAACCTTCATTTTCATGCCCATTTTCTGTCAGGAAATTTTAGATTCCATGACCGAGGCAGAGCAGACTACGTTTCTCGCCGCTTGTCACTTTACTGGCCGCACCTGTCACTTTATCGGCCGCAACGTCACTTTACCGGCCGCATTTGTGACATTTCTAAATGTCTATAATGACTCCTGTCATCACTGACAGATTGACATTAATCAAAAGTTCTATACGAAAATTGAAATGATATATAAATACGACTTCGGGTAAAATTTAATACAAAATTCGTCAGTAAAATGACCTGACCTGACTCGGAAATTAAAGTACTCGGCCCCAAAGGGACCTCGCACTTCAATATTTCCTTACCAGTAACGTGTCATTTTCCTGACTTTTATGTAAATAACTATTGCATTACCGTGTATAAAAAATTTGCACGCAACGTTACAGTGAAAAAGTGCTAAACACTGTTCCAAGAGTGCTTTTCGGTATCCATTGACAACTGATCAATGAATAGAAACAATTTTCAGCGCCAATCTACCATTTTAGAAGAAGTATTTACGTTGACCTACTTACGTTCCATTTCATAAACGCGGAGTGCTGCCATTGCCTGCAAAGCTTTCGTTAACGTGACGATATAATATTAGTAAAGAAGCATTTCGTTGTCATAATCCTGCTTTTGTCGTTGTTATACCTTTCGGCGATTGTGTTGAAAACCAGGGTCGTTTATCTGCATTTTCCTATGACGTCATAAATACGCCTTGTATTCTATACTTATATTAAATAAACTGAATAAATTTAATTGGTCCGCGTTTCTCTGAGCAATTGTTTATATCGGTACGTGTAAAACTTTGGGGTCAATAATAATTTTATTTATCATTATAATATTCGTTCAAATTGTGTATTGATTTAAGATAGGTGAGGATTCAAATCTTACATGGAATTGTTTATATTGTTTAATTTGTAACTTTTGCATCATATATAAAGCAGACGACCTGCATTTAACAGTATGCATTGATTTCAAGGTATAATTCAGGTAACGTATCGATTTTAATGGGATATTTAAATTTGGCGCTTTATATTGACTTATACAAAGCAAAGCAAAAAAAAAGGTAAGTTCATATAACGGAATATGACCTATTTTTTGGGGTCTTCAAACTAATTCTGGATTTGTTACTTCCATGTTGAAAAATCGAGCTTCCAAATTCCGTTCAGATTTTTTTGCCAATGAGCCACCTTATGGTGGAAAATTAACGGTGTCGTCTACTGACTTGGAAACTAGGGGAGACCAGGGTTCGATTTCCGGCCTGGTCTGGTGAAGATCATCTTTGGCGCTGTCGTGTCCGTAGAATTCACTGCGCCTTTAAAATTTAGTACCTGGGCGAATACTAAAATGCACTGCACTGCAAGGCAGTTAGGCAGTCGTAGTCTAAAGCCTTTTTTTTGACGCGACACTCAAATTATTACCCCAGTTACATAATCCTTTTGGTTATGAATTGTTTGGTAAGTGATTACATCCGACTATTGTCTATTGACTAGCAAGTCTCGGCCTTACAGACGTATCAATTTAGGAAGCGATATTCCAATTGACCATAAAGGAAATAAACGACTCAATTCCAATTGACTATAAGCAGTGGGGATGTAATCTTTTCCTTTTTTGTCCCGAGCTGCCTGATCATAGTTACGCGAATGGAAAACTGAGGGAAAATAAGAATTTTTCACAATTATAGTGATAAGAAAATGCACATAGGCATGGATACAAGCACGAAAAAGACAACTTTGGTTTCCTGGTATGTGAGGATTAGGGTAATTTCACATCTTAACTTCAAAATGTGAGAATGCGTTAACGAAAGTGGCCCAATTATACTACCTTGTGTAACAAATAATAATCGATGACCTGCGACTTATTTTTTAAACGCGCGAAAAAATAATAATGTCAATCGGTGATCGTATAATTTACTAGTCGACTAACAGCTCGTTATGATCTATTTCACCTTGTAAAGAATGCATGAACTTTTTCCTGTTGCACATTGCGTGTAAATAAATAGATTAGGTACTTCGTTAATTGCATACATTTTCCAAGTATTTTGGCCGCCATACTTTGGTTACTTTGTAATTATGTAATTTAAAATATTGCAATTACAGATTTGGTCGTAAACACAATAATCGCCAATTTAAAACATATTGTGATCATGATCTCCCACCGGACACACTTTTTTGGATATTATTTTTATATGTAGGTAATTGGCATATTGACACGCAATATGACAGTGCGTTCGAGTTCGAAATGTAATTGTTAAGCCCAATTTGTTTTTTTGTGAAGGCAGAGATCAGGTTGCAGCCGCGGTCCTCTGTGGGCGTTCACTTGTAAAATTGCCCGTCAGGGTCAGGGTTTTACCTGGAGCGGGTCCGCGTTACCAAATTCCTATCTAATGTTGAAGTATTTTAAAATAAGCCCAATTTTCCTACGTCCATTTGAAGTAGGTAGGTGCGCGTTTCCTGAATAACTTGTACCGGAATTACAATCGCAGCTCGCACACAGCTGGATATACACGATTCTGTTTACAACTTGCAATTCTCCTGCTCCACTTGAGGCTCTTCCTGGTTTTATCAACTTATCCATGTTAGTGTGGCTATTGTTAAGACTCGCAAGAGATTTATTTGCGGGCTTTGTTAAGGTCGCGTAACCGTTGTATTTCCGCGGCAGAAATTTTGCCAATTCGACTAGGCCGAGTGTTTTCGATGAAACACAATGTGGTAATGGAAAAAGGGTGGGTAGTAAATAGCACTTTATGTACAAACAACCGTTACGTAGAAGTATGCAATATTACGAGCATCATAAATAACTCGTAGACTGTAATAACCCAGTTCAATCATTCTATTCAGACCATATTCAAGGATGATTGCCTGTATAAGCAACTTTAGGTGATTAATTATCGGTAATACTTTTAAAACTATAATTTAAATAGCAAGTGTTTTATTGCCAATACGTATCAATTAATTGAAAAATAAAGGTCGCCGTTTTACAAATAACCATACGCTCTGGCTGGTAAAATGCCAGAAGTAGGTTACCACCCGAAAATTACGTCGTTGTAATGTGAGCGTGAATTTGATTGATTACGTACCGAAACGAGACGAACAAAGATGCATCGGCGACTTCTTCCATTTGGTAAACTTCATTACGCTCGGCTCTACACTAACAAATGTGAGAATTGGCCCAAGTTTACACCTACGTCTTTTCGCGAAACAAAATATGTAGGCAATTTATTCAAGTAAATTCGCGTCAAGATTGTTATCGAAGGCAAATTTTCAAGAGGTCTTGCGCCTTTAACACGTTAACCTAATCGATTAATATTATAAGGTAGGATCTTCTGACCTGGACGTACGCGAAATGGCGCCACTGTTTAAAAATGTAAGGAGATCATTGCCAAAAAGTAACATTGATCTCGAAAATAAATTAATAAGGCACCAGCACTACTTGTGTGGTACGCAATTGATTTTTCGTCAAGAAAAATGAGACCAATTTTTTTTGAAAACCGAAGTTGAAGGACGTTTCTTATCCACCCAGTCGTTTAAAATGATTACCAAGGCCGACGTAAACCTACAAAATTAAAAAATCCGAAAATTTCGAAAAATCAAAATTATTCTATTATTTTTATTACAAGAGCATTCTATAAACATTTCAGAAGTGTACGAACAAATAGACAGAGTACATTTGCGTTTAGTCGATCTCTAACACTTTCTCTTTGCGAGTACCTTCCAACACTTTGGTGTTTGGGATACTAGTTTTTCAATCCACGGCAATCCCCTTATTATCATGTGAATTTATTTTATTTTTTTGAACTGTTAATTTAATTTTTTTCTTTTTCAGGTCTTGTTTCAATTCTGAGATACCACCATTTTTAAAAATGTGTATATAGCACGACCTGATTTTTTGAAAAATGTGTTGAGATATCATTATGATGGAGAAGTTTGGCAATAGTTTTTTTCTTTTACACTTTGTTGCGTTTCTGTGACCCTGATGACTTTTAGAACAAATAGAAAATCAAAATATTTGTTTAATGCAGCGTTTTGTGCTTCTATGGCCCAGAATTTTAAAAGAAAAGGCTGTGGCAGGAGATCATACTCCGTTAGAATCAGTTCCTGTGAATAATTTTTGGTTAAAAAATGATTTCAGCATTCTGCTTTCCTGTCATACTGATACAATAATTAATGGCAGACTACTTTCTATCTGGAGATAATAATATATCTTCAAAATAAAAATTTGTATTAGGAAAATATAAAT